GAAAGTGAGGCTACTTCCTCCATACAGTAAATTGATCTTTTGTTTTCCCAATTCTCGCATTAATTGGGATACAATATTGATATTTTGAGAAGAAGATACAAGTTTAGATCCTCCAAGAACACAAATGGTTTTTATAGAAGGAAGAACTTTTGTAACTTGAGAAGATTCAGAAGTCTCCATTTGGAGTAGAAAGATACTCGAATTGAAGAAAAGAGGGGATATTTAAAGAAAGAAAAATGAGTATTATATTGACAGAAGCAAAAGACAAGGAAGAAGTTGAGCATTAAATCAGATGTATTATCAGAAGAAATCGGATACCTTTTAATAAGGGAGTTAATAAGGATGGATGTTGCAAACAGGATCTTTGGCAACAATATTTTCGAGATTATAACGGTTTTGTTCATCTTTGAAACATACCCATAAAGACATAAGTTCTCGATGCACATATCCATTGGTATGTGTCTCGAGAATTTGTTGAAGGGTTTGATCCAGAGATTCATTATTCAAGCCAGTTTTTATGAAAGCTATTTTATCTTCTCGATTTTTGGACGCAAAACCCACCGATTTGCATCGAATGTCGCAGTTCCAACGAGCACACTTATAGCAGCCGCCTATTCATTTTGCTCTACGTTTCTTGGCAAGAGTACTTCTACCCATACCGGACAGATATTTATAAGAATTTGGAAATTCACCAGAGAGTCGGACGTTTGCTTCAATCAACCATCGGATATCATTTGAAATATTATGGATCCTTAGCACTCTCAATATTTCCACTCAAGATCGATAAATCATTTTTATGATATTAAAAGGAAGAAAGGAATATGATTTGCGAATATTTGAAAGTGCCGAATCCATTTATTGTTTCGGACCATTGGTGAAGAAGACTGAAGGATTAACGAGCCGGGTTATAGAAGATCGAAGCGTAGAAGGTAAGTTTCTAGAGATAGAGTTTGGTATTATTATATTTCTAATGTCAGAACATGCAGCCAGTACGCAATTAATGCAGCAGAAATAAGATATGAGATGTCGGCAATAATTGAAGAATGAATTATTGTGAAGTTGAGTTGTGTCGGTCAGCATTATTGAGGACAAAATAATTAACCTCGATAGGTGAAATGTGGTATGATCAGTAATTGGGTAATTTATGCAGTGCAGTAATTTCCAATCAGTTTTATTTGAGAAATATTGGATATATTAAAGTCAGAGGAATATAAGTGTTGATAGTAGTTTTTGATCAGAAGGTTTCCCGACGCATAGGCAAGTCCAGTACAGTTGATGATGCTAACGTATATGTGAATTTTGAAGGTGATATTGACATTGTAGGTACACGCATGTAAATGTTCCGCACCCGAAGGGCCCCGGGTAGTGGGTACATCGCATGCAAAGTGCCACATAGTCATGTTTTGAGTCATAAGTGACAAGTCCAAAAGTATTTGGCTTTACCATAATGGAAGTTGATCGAGGAAATAGTCAAGTATGTAGCCTGGAAAGGTTCAAGACTGCTCATAATTGGCAGAAATTTCTACTTAGAAATGGATAAAGTCTTTAAGATAGTTCGACTAATGAGAAGTGTCGTTTGGTATGTTGCATTCTTTTTGTATATGTTCGTTCAAAGTTCTTTGAACGAGTAGAAGAAGTATTCTAACATTTAGATTCACCTCCCAAGTTGGTTAGTATGTGTAATGTTTTTCACGTATTGATGATACGTGTATACGTGGGCGATCCAAATCATGTGCTTTAGCACAATGAGATTTAAATTCAGTAAGTTTTAACTTACGAGGAACAGCCGGTATCAGTTTTGGACCAAAAGGTTCATCGATTAAGGAATTTATATATTTTCCTCATTTGTATAAAATAGAATCGCCAAGGAGAATAAGATGCCATTTGGGAGTGATAAGCTGATGTTAGAGTTCAAGATTTAAAGTTTTGATATATACTCATATAGTATGTGTAATATCCCGATATTTTATCGGTATAAATTACGTTTTAGTTCCGATATAATAATGTTATAGTTTATTATTTTCGGAATTAATTAAGTTCAGTCGGAATTACCAAAATCTATTTTCGACGTACCGTTTACGTCCGAAATAATTTTGGTAATTAAGAATTATGTTTAATTAATAATTAAACATAAAGTTTAGTGATTAATTGTTGATTAATCATCATTAATCTCCATAAGCCGTGAGTTAAGTAAATTAGCCCTAAGTTATTCTAAGGCCGTGACTTAAGAAGCATTTTTTTTTTCAAATATTTTTACCTAAGGCCGAAGGTTCCTTTATGTTTAAGGAGATGAATTTTCCTCCTCACTTTAGCAAGAGACGTGGCAGGTTTTTGAGTGTATGAGTCATCCCCAAACTCCTCAAATTAGTCACCAAATGCTAAGACAATAAGAGGCCACGTAGTGCCTTCATCACTATTTTTCCTTCATCGTCCCTAGTATAAATATGACCCTTAAGACCGAAATTCCCCCTTTATCCTTAAGAGAGTCTCAGCATAATATATTAGCCCCTTTTTAGAAGCAATAAGTTCAAGTAATTTCCATAAATTTTCCCATTTCTAACGCACGGCAAGGTTAGACCATACACACGGCGCACACGAGCAAAGGAAGCACTCCAAAGTTCCGTATTCCGTCGATCGTTCAAGAGAGGTAACACCTTATTCAACTCATGTTCATGATAATTAGGTTATTTCTAGGTTAAGTGTTCGATTGATTGTTGAGAAATTCTAAGAAAACCGTGTTTAAGTCCGTGTATGCCTAAGTAAAATTATCACCGAACAAGTTTCTATTTCTTCCGGCAACTCTTGAACCATGATCGTTTATATGTCCAGTTTAGTCTATTTCGTGTTCAATAAGGTCAGCTTTGTTGAAGAGAAATGGGATTTTGTTGATTAATTGGCCACGGCCGTCGCTCACGCCTATCGCGTGTAGCTTCGGGCGGCCGCGGTCCATGACCTTGTAAGTTTGGTATTAATCATGTTATTCAGCGTGTTTAAGTCCTAAACTGCTTCAGATAAATGTTCGTATTTAGTTGTTCGGAAGTTGTCGGTTAATAAGTTAGTTTGGCCGAGAGGCGGCACAAAGCCGTCGGCGGCGCACGGGCGTTCGCCGCGGCCTTTCATGTTCAATATGTGTTCGTTGTATTTGCAGTTCATGCTTGATAAGTAATTCATGTTAAGTTTCAGTTAGGATCAGAATTGGTCGAGGTACTTGCTAAGTTGGTCGAGAGACGGCCGTAGGCCGTAGGCCTCGCACGTAGCGAGCCTACCCCGGCCATGGGATTGACCCAGCCAACAAATTCAGCCATTTCATGTTTGTTGCTCATGAATAGTCAGAACATGTTAATATAAGTCAGTTTGGTCGATCGAGTTCGCCGAACGGTTGGCAAGGAGTCGACCGT